TAAATCAAATCTTTAAAAAAACAAAAAAATAGGGCGCCTGGGTGGCTCAGTTGGTTAAGCCACTGCCTTCGGCTCAGGTCATGATCCTGGAGTCCCCGGATCGAGTCCCGCATCGGGCTCCCTGCTCGGCGGGGAGTCTGCTTCTCCCTCTGACCCTCCCCCTTCTCATGCTCTCTCTCTCTCTCTCTCTCTCTCATTCTCTCTCTCAAATAAATAAATAAAATCTTTAAAAAAAAATAGTGCTACTTTCCTCACACATCCTATTTCTTTAGTCTGGGCCTGACTTAAACCACTTACACTGTTCTGCTACATCGACAATCACCTTAAGTTCTTGGGATTTCATACACATGAAGCTCATTTAGCCATCTTATTGACGTAAAAGGAAAATTTTTAATTCTAAACTAACATGACTCTATTTTGCCATTTTCTTATGCAGTTTTCAAATTACAGGCCCACATGGGGCAACAATTTTCTCATCATTGGTAAGAAGTCAGAAGACTAGAGATTGATTCTGGTTCTCCTGCTAACCAACTACCCCTGTAACCCTAAGCAAGTTATGCTACCGTCTTTCCAGATTCCTTCCCTCAGTGGAAATATATTCGCATTGAATTTGATGACTTCTATGTTACCTTCCAGCACTGGTTTCTGTGATTTCACAATTCATAATCACTTTCCTAATACATGTATCCTCAGAAGATGAAAAATAATAAAACTATCTTGAACTTAGAGTTGATAGTGGATCCTATGCAGTGATCTACTACCAAGCCCTCCCAGGTAAAGTAAGTTCATGTTCATGATTGGATGGTCCACCACCTGTTTGGGATTATTACCTTTTGGGATTATTACAAGGGATCCAGTTCACTCCAGGGTCTGGGATATCCTCCAGGTATGGGTAGATAGTTTCCCTGGTAAAGTTCCAGCCATAAATACCATCTTCTGGAGTCACAATAATATGTGCACCCTGTTAAAAATATTAAAATATTTCTCAGTTAAGCAACAATCCAAGACGGGGTCTGTATGGCCTTGCGGTCATAATTTTGAGAAGGAGGTAGGAGTCTGATTGTACAACAAAGTTGTTGGCTACCCTGACACATATGTCTTCCAAAAGTATAACTGCACCGGACAGGGACCCTGGTTCCTAAGACCCCACCCTTCTTCTTGGTGGAGGCCAGCACGCTTGAGAGGGGGTACCTGGTTTGCTGCTGAAGTGATTGCTGCCTCCAAATGATCCAGATTTCGGTTCATTAATGCCAATGCCTCTTCACGGGACACTGGTATCAGGCTAGCATTAGGCAATATCACTGCGTGTTCATAAACAGCTGCAATAAATGTATCCCGGGAGCTGACTTTTAAGACACAGAAAACTGAAACTGCCACAAAAGCCAGCAGCGGAGAGGTGACCATGCTGAAGTCTGACGATTGCCGATAAACAGAGCAAGTCCTCACATGTATAGAGAGAAAACACAATTAATCATGTGGTCCCCAGGACTTACTACCTTACAAGTAGATTACAAAATCTACTCTAAGCAAGCCTTATGGTATTGCATTGTAGACATAGATATAAACAAACCTTACGTAACAAAAGACTCGGGGCGCCTGGGTGGCTCAGTCGTTAAGCGTCTGCCTTCAGCTCAGGTCATGATCCCAGGATCCTGGGATTGAGCCCCGCATCGGGCTCCCTGCTCGGCGGGAAGCCTGCTTCTCCCTCTCCCACTCCCCCCTCTCATGTGCTCTCTCTCATTCTCTCTCTCAAATAAATAAATAAATAAAATCTTTAAAAAAAAAAAAAGTGTTCTGGAGATGAGTGATGGTGATGGTTGAGTTAACAATATGAATATACTTAATACCACTGACTGTGCATTTAAAAATGATTAAGATGGTAAACTTTATGTGTATTTCACCACAAAAAAAAAAATTAGAAAAAAAGACCGTTGGAGGTTAAGAAAAGGGAAATCTTGTTCAGGGAACTAGTCAATCTGGCTGGAGCAGAGACATTGTCAGGGAAGAAAAGGGAATTTAAAAAGATGCATCTGGGGTCATAAAAGATAGAGCTCAGCACAAGAAGTTAAAAACTTCTTTCAAATTTAATAGACAAAAAGATTCTGAGGACAGAAGTACCATGATCTGAATTTTCTGTAAGATAATAGGCCATGAGGGTATAGAATATACTAGAATAAGAGACTAAATGTAGGGAATCATTAGGAAGTTTTTGCAATAGCTCAGATTAAAGGCAACAAGGATTGGGCTAGGGCAGTGCCAGACAGTATGGAAAAATGGAAATACTGGAACACTTGTTAATGCTTGATTTCTTTAATTCTTTTTTTTTAAGATTTTATTTATTCATTTGAGAGAGATGGAGAGAGGACGAACATGAGCAGGGGGGATAGGCAGAGGGAGAGGGAGAAGCAGACTCCCCGCTGAGCAGGGAGCCCAACATGAGGCTCAATCCCAGGACCCGACCCAGAGATCATGACCTGAGCCAAAAGCAGGTGCTTATCCTATCAGGTGCCTCTGATTTCTTTATCCTTTATCATGTTACCAGTAGTTGTCCCAATAAAGCAATTAAATGCAATCTTCAAAAGTGAGACCCACTACATGTAACATATAGCCATATTTACTCTCTATTGGCACAGCCTTTAAATAATAAATGGTTAATAGTAGGTAGGTTATTGAAGAATAGCTGAGAAGGTTAAAGTAACTATTGAATGAATGGAAATTTAGTGCCATCTGCTGGCAATAGTAGTAAAAGCTTTCTTCGAGTATCAAATCTAGACCATTAGAACTACAAATTGGTATAATTAATATAAGCAAAACCATAGCAATTACCTATAAAAACATGCCCTTGAAAAAGACCAAGAGGGATGAGAAAACACATCTAAAAAAATTATTCTAATGCATGATATATAAAGAATGACTATTTGATAGTTTTTCTCCCTCTTTTGCTTCAATTAATGTCTGAAAGACAGATGTAAACACATCAAACCACTTGAAACATATTTAGCCCAAGTCTTTTCAGATTTCCACAATTGGCAGAATATACTGGTACATGAAATAGAAATCTGGTGTTAGGGATTTCTTAAACAGTCCTGATTACATATTTCCCTCCTGTCTCTATTAATCTTGAAAGTGCATCATATATTCAAATATATTTACATTTAAACTACATTTTTCAGACTGTTTGCTATACCCAGGAAAGATTACAAAATGCTTTGTTAGAACACACACCCATATGACCTACTCCCTCACTTCTTCCAAGTCTTTACTTAGATGTCACCGTGAAGCCAACTGATGACCAACAATTTAAACCCCGTGCTTGCCACCAGATTCACCTGTCCTGCTTTTTCTTCATAACATTTACCTTTACTACATATCATAGATAAGTAGATAGATAATAGATAACTATATAGATATTATCTTTGTTTCTTCATTGACTATCTCCCTACACTAGAATATAAGCTCCAGGAGGGTAGATTTTTAATCTATCTTGTCCACCCTACTGTCCAGAATAGTACCTGTATGTAATAGGTACACACACAAAAAATTGTTAAATAAATGAATGAAGGCAAGGAATGGAGATGCTATTAGCTGATAGAAAATAGGAAAGGCAACCAGACTCCTTGAAATGGAATGCATGGAACAGCCACGTGGGGATTTTCAGGAGGCCCTTGGAAAAATTTGATTCTAGGAAAAGGTCATTCAGATACAAGTGAAGTCAACACATGATGGAAGGGCACACAGAGTGCTTGCCCTTTAGAAACTGAAAATCTGGCATGAAAGGTGGTCAAATAAAAAACAATTATGATACAATGAAATATGAAGAAAGTAGATGATTAAGATAAATAATACTAAACTTGTCAAAATCAAGGTGTCTCTATAAGGATTTATAGTAGTTTGTGTGGTTTGAAGAGCAATTCCAAAGAGGGAGTTCCTATGATGTTAGCAATAGTGCCTATAGAAAGAAGTGAGGTAACTGAGAGGATTCTCTTAGATATATAAGGTATTTCTTGGTCTACATTAAAAACAATAGTGCTAGGGGCGCCTGGGTGGCTCAGTCGTTACGCGTCTGCCTTCGGCTCAGGTCGTGATCCCAGGGTCCTGGGATCGAGCCCCGCATCGGGCTCCCTGCTCGGCGGGAAGCCTGCTTCTC